GGCTGGTGCTATGTCCCTTTGTCTCTAAGTGACATAATCACACGTTTCGAGTACACACCTGTGGACAACGCTAAGCAGCGTTAAGTGTCGGGGTGGATAACATTAACAGGTGTCTCTTTGCGACGTTTACCACACATTGCTTCAGATGTTTGCAGTGAAATCAGATATAGCAATCGTGCCGGGAGATCGGTTTGAGCCAGATTCTTCGTCAGCGTAGGTATTGCCTAAGCCTTGAATTTTGAAAGGTTATGGCGATGCCGTTATAGCTGAGTCCCATAACTGTATTCATGAATGCGGATTTAGATGTGGATGATATTTGCTCCTGTAAGTGGTTATGCGCTTTGAGTATTGACGCTTTGTATGGGTCCACAATAATTTCAGCTCTTGATTATATTGACGCCGTGCTGTTTACAGGGAACGAGGTCTTCGTGGGAAGATACACCAATAAATACACGATGAATGGTATGCATGCACTGACATAACCAACACAACAATGAGCGCTGTTGTGTTTGTTTGTTTGTTTGTTTGTTGTTGAACACCGCACTCGGCAATATTCAAGCTGTATGACGGCGGTCTGTAAAAAATAAGCCAAAGAGATCCAGATCTTAGAAGTTTACCACGTTGGTAAAACTAACGAGTGGATATGGTGATGACAAACCTAGAAACATAACCGGGATTCAAACCAACGGTTTCTGATGCAATCTCCTCACAGCGATAGCCCGTATCACGCGCTGGGAAGGAGCTTGTTTCTGATGAGCCCAAGGGACGCAACTCTGCACAGCGAATTGCGGCTCCTTCGACGACTGAGTTAGGATCTTGACATAAGATATTGGGTACTATGAGTTGAGTAACAATGGACAGTTAGACAAGGTAGCACAGCCATATAATCGAAACAACGAAACCACATAACGAAATTTCTAACAGTACAAATAAATCTAAGGCAACAAGATTCTCAACAAAAGCTTGTACGTGCCACACTGTGCTAATATGATATTCCGCCATATATCTAACTTATACGTCTTTTGATGATCAGTAAGTATATTCATCAAAGTTGTGTACAACAACGACCAGGAAACATGACGTTCACCTCCTGCAGAGTGTCTCTTAATATCCTTCTCTCTCGGAAGGAGGCACAGATGTCCTGGTGATCGTTGAGAAGAAATTATTTCACTTTCTATTTTCTACGAGGATCGACGAAGATTTTGAACCATTTAAGGGGTTGTTAGCTCACCCAATCGTTAATCCTTTCGTGGGTACAAAGTACACTCACTCACTCACCGGCTCACTCACTCACCCATTCATTCACTGTCTTTTCAGAGAGGGTCGTCACCTCTTTTTCAAAATGAATGCTGTGAGACAGTTTGTAGTTCTTCGCAAACTTTTATTACTCTGAAATTCTTCAATGATTGATCTGTTCTTTAACTTTCTATCATCTGGTGGTACAGGGGTCCTGAACGTGAAGTTCGCCGCCACATTCCTCAATACGGCTTGAATCAGAACGGACGTTGTTTGGCCCGCCTACAGAATTTTTTTAGCAATAGTTCTTATAGATATAAAATTGAATTATTCTTTTATCCGACGCATACTTGCATGGGTCGACTTATTTATGGTAATCTTTCACGCACCTTTATATCTGAGATAATGTACCGTGTCTGTTGTATTTGGGCTACGTCAGTGCATTGTTAAAGACAACAACAAGGGAGGTAACTCGTGTTGCGAGCCTTTAGTCGCCTAACCTTTTCCTACTACTCCGTATATATTAACATAAGCTTTCATTCACACGCGTTCGAGTGTGAAGAGTTACAAGTGTATATGATAGCATGCTGGGGGTTCATGTCCTACTTAATGTCATTCAAGTTTTCTCTTTATTGTGGCTATGTAATGCATACGTCTCTGACATAGACAGTGGGAATAAACATTCTGTAAGAGAGACGGTGGGAACATACTCTGCGAAGTTGGGGTAGGTGTTAAAAAATCATCAGGATGACATTCACCTGACTTTCAACATCCATCGCGACCGGTGTACATACCTGCATCAGTACCCGCAGTGAGTGGAGCGAGAAGCGATAATCACGCGTGTCGCCTGCCAGTGAGGGAACGAGTGTATGGAGGTTGTAGACACCCGTGTCATGCACTGAGAAGAATGATAGTGAGGTATCGTCTTGTTCAGATATCACTCTGTGGTTACCTTTCATCCACTGTTTATAATATAATTGATGTTTCCCGTCCAGTTTTCGTCCACCACATATATGTCGTTGAAATCCGTGGGGATTCTGGGTAAGAAAATAGGTCCCCAGCAACCTATGCTTGTCGTAGGAGGACTAACTGGATCGGATGGTCAAGCTCGGTGACCTGGCTGATTGAATGTCATCGTATCTCATTTGCGTCGATGGATGATCATTATGTCAATCACTAGACTGTTTTGCCCAGACAGGATTATGTACAGACCGCCGTGATATAGCTGGAATAGTGCTGAATACGGCGTGAAACGACAAAAAATATCATATACCACTTATAAAGCGATAGTGATGTCCATTTCGTCGGATGTCATACATGTCAATTATACCGTTTGTCACAGAGTGCCATCCAATCTGGATATGTCACACTCTCGTATATCGTTATTGCCTTAGTCACGACATGTCACAAAACTATATATCATACATTGCCTTACAGTCACGACATGTCACAAAACTATATATCATTCATGGCCTTATAGTCACGACATTTATTATATATATCTATATATCATTCATTGCCTGACAGTCACGACATGTCACAAACGCGTATATCGTTATTGCTTTACAGTCACGACATGTCACAAAACTATGTATCAATCAATGCCTTACAGACACGACATGTCACAAAACTATATATCATTCATTGCCTTACAGTCACGACATGTTACAAGTCTATATATTATCCATTGCCTTGCACTCACGACATGTTACAAAACTATATAGCATTCATTGCCTGACAGTCACAACATGTCACAAAACTATATATCATGCATTGTCTTACAGTCACGACATGTCACAAAACTATATATCATTCACTGCCTTACAGTCATGATATGTTACAAAACTATATATCATTCATTACCTTACAGTCACGACATGTTACAAGTCTATATATCATCCATTGTCTTGCAGTCACGACATGTTACAAGTCTATATATCATTCATTGCCTTACAGTCATGACATGTCACAAAACTATATATCATTCATTGCCTTACAGTCACGACATGTCACAAAACTATACAGCATGCATTGCCTGACAGTCACGACATGTTACAAGTCTATATATCATCCATTGCCTTGCAGTCACGACATGTTACAAAACTATATAGCACTCATTGCCTGACAGTCACGACATGTCCCAAAACTATATATCGTTCATTGCCTTATGGTCACGACATGTCACAAACCCGTATATCATTCATTGCCTTACAGTCACGACATGTTACAAACCCGTATATCATTCATTGCCTTACAGTCACGACAAGTTACAAACCCGTATATCATTCATGCCAGAAACATGTGTTCCCGGTTCGCCCCGATTCTGTTGCTAGATTTTTCAGCAACACATCCGTGGTCGTGGGTTTCACCAAAACGGTGAACATTTCAGACCATTCGTCACCACTCGCATGTTTCTGTAACCTACTGTCCCGGGATGGGACATATTGGTCACGAATGGTCATAGACCTGCAACACTTCCTCTCACATAAGGCTGAGACGCCATAATATAGCTGAAACACTATTAAAAGTGGCATCAACCCAACTCACTCACTCACTCACTCCCTCATTGGCGTACTGTCGCGGCATGTTCCACACACTAATCTGTCATTCAGTTTAATACAATCTCACATGTCACATCCCTGCATGGCATTCATTGCAATGTGATCTCGGCAAGTCATATGCTTCTGTATTATTCATTGTCCATCTTTCCGAGGCAAGGGAGTTAACTGATCATACAACACCATAGGAATTAACTCCCTTGCCTCGGGAAGATGTTCCTTGTCATTCTGTTTCGACATCCAATTTCGATATGTCATATACCCGTATATCATCCGTTGCCATTTAACCTCGACCTGCCACACGCCGTCTGTCGCCCTCTCACGTTGGGTGTCGATAGGCGCCATCTGTCCGTCACGGTTTGTCTCGGTGTGTCAAATGTACCATCTTTAAAAGACGCGCGCCCATAATTGTTTACCTGCTTTTGGAATGTTCCCCATATGTATGACGGATAGGCGGACCCATGGGGGCTCCAGGTACTTTTTCTATACCCTCCATAGATTTCAACAAACTAAATAAACAACGCATTCGATCACTTGTACGTTGTGGAGAGAGAACCACAAACATCATATACAATGTCAAGGCAGACATATTCGAGTAGCTACACTGGACATACCCTTTCACGTTGATGTTGCAGTATAGCAAGTCTGTCTTAAAAAACTAAAATCTTAACATTGTGCAGACATTCTGTGAAAATCTTCTACTCAAGCAACGTAATGTTTATGGCACGAAGATGTGTTTTCCCTTATTTGTTGTAATGCGTCGCGAGAATACACCCTTCACACGAATTTCATTGCCTTTTCTCTCATAATCATTTCAAAAATGAATTATGAGTTTAGAGACCAAACAATTCCCTATGTACCACCAAAACATAATAATACCAATATATCTACCTTGTATACAACTAAACCGTGAAAATTGTTAATACCCCGAAATTGCAAAACCTTCAACAGAGATTACCCTAACTGGCAATACGTATGGATATGTCTCAAAAGACGTTAAAGAACGCCCGATTTTTAAATTTGAATATATTTAATCTGTCATGGCCATGACAATTTTAGTATAGTCATATAAAAATATCGGTGTTTTCTAAATTATTTTGAGCGGTATATTTGTAAATCTGAGGCTGCTACCATTCCAACTTACAGCTGCATACAAAGAACATTAAATCCTTTCTGTGTGTTTCAGAGACCAACAGGTGGTGAGAACTATATGCCCTAATCAGCCACACGTTGTGATTCGTACACCTGGATATCTCCTTAGTCGAAATCATTCAATACGCGATCATCATTGTGAACCACAATACCAAATAATGGATCGCGTTACAAAGTTCTGCAACTAGCGATGCTATGGAGCGTGGCCGGCAACTGCCTGGTACGCGTGGCTGCTTGCCATCCTGCACTGCCTCATCAATACGCCCGCAACACCTGGACTCCAACGTCCCGGGATCGATGCAACTCTGATCAAGTGAGCATCAAACCAGTGCGCATTGCGTGACAGTCCGAAGAAGGAACGGAAGGAAACGGGCACCGAAAGGGAAATGCCTTCAGATCTGTAGAACAATGACGGGGACAATTACAGACAATTGGTGGACTTTCACGAACACTGATCATAGGAGATCATACATTACGTGTTCTTTAAACAAGTTTGTGTCAATCAAAACTTTTATTTTGGTCAACTTTGTGTTGGCATGTGTTGGCCAGAACCCTCAACTAAGACAATTCCCGCCGCTTTTTAACGCCGCCAAAGACAAGCTCATTTCTACCAGTCCGTCTGACAGCACTTGTGGAGTACCGGTTAGAAATGCCTATTGCCGAAGTTCAACTATTGCGACATCTGTGGGTACTTGCTTACAGAACTTCTGTGTTCAAACGTGTCCAGGGAGGTATTCATTACCCAACCCAGTGGATCTAGTTTCCGATGCTCTGAGTCCTGGATTCGGAGCCTGTGTTTCCCTGGATATGGTCAACAAACGACCAAAGAGTGGTTCAGCCGATTTTTCCCGGTTCATCAGTCAGTCTGGAGACAACTGTTACCTCTTCCCTTCGACAAGTCCCGATGTTGGGCAGAACGGTGCGTTCACCTTGACCGTGTGGTTCTGGATGGCCAATACAGTTGATGGGTAAGAAGCGTTACTGCACATAGAGCCTTAAAGCGGAACATTAGTTTGGATAGATGGGGTTTTTAAACTTAATGAAGTACATTGTTCCATGGTCTGTTTTCCATTTGAAGTCTAAACTTTAACACTCTCATTAGTGTCATGTGTGAAACCGTGACATTGTTTGTTTGTTTGTTGTTTAACACTGCACTCAGCAATATTCCAGCTTTATGATGGCAGTCTGTAAATAATGGAGTCTTGACCAGACAATCCAGTGATTGACATTAGCATCGGTCCAAGCAATTGGGATACGATGACATGCATCAACCAAGTCAGTGATCGTGTTGTATATATGTAATAAGGGTATGCTGCTACAGTATATGGAATAAACTTAGAAGACAAAACAAATTGGTTTATAAACAACCTGAATCAAACTAGAAGAACTGGCAATTTGCTCACACTAAGGTCAATGCCGTAGTTAACTTTTTTAACAGGGGGGGGCAAATATTTGTCCCCCTCCCCCCCTCGGCTGGCTACGGCACTGCAGGTGTGTTAGGCACTGGTTCCTGTTGTACAATGGGTACTCTCTGTGAAGCACAATATTTGTGTCCCCTCACTCACTCTATTTTATGATGTCACCATCCTCTAGCCAGTAACTAATACCTATAGTGTGTATGGATTTAATTGATTGTGTATGTTTAACAAACTGTGTACAGCTTTTGTTTACTATTTCAAAAGTCAGATCAATAATACTTGTTTATTCTTTTGTTTTTTTTAGGCCAATATTTAAGTAAAGGAAGGGAATATGTAGGTACTGGCCACTAAAAAATATATACAACATTTGCATTGATAATACAGGTCTTGATTTAGCTACATAAAACATACACAAGAGCAACCTATCTTTGAAAAATGAAACCTAATATTTATGTCTACCTGCACAAAGTGCATGTCAAAATATTACAAATTTGTGTCTGGTTAACCCTTATGTGTCCACACAAATTCTATCTTTAACTCTCACAGTACCTCTTAAAGTTAACTTTATACCATACTACATCACTAATCCATTTGTTACATGTAATTTGTCATACTGCCTTAGGCTTGACGTCATCAAACTGTGGGTACATGTTTATATGATCATGTGCACATGTTCCTGTTACGTTTTACAGCAATGCATCATTAACTTATGTGACACAGGCAGCAGACAGGCCTATGTTTCAACCTGGGTGCAACCAGGATTTTTTAGTGCAACTTGATTTTCATGTCAACATGCACCTGGTGCAAGTTAGATCAAGTTCCGTAAATCAAGCCCTGTGATATAAGCATTCAGGATATATGATTAAATAACTGTTAGTTTTAAATATTCTTGTTTGTTTGAAACATGACAAAAGGGTTTCAGTGAAACTTAAGACAAAACAAAACTTCTTACACGAAGGACTTAAAATAAGGATAGTTCCACTTCAACAATGTGGATTTCAGCTAATTACTTAAAAAAGTGCCATTCATTTTGCCTGTTAAGATAAAGTTTAAAAAGCAGCAAAACATTTGTTTCTAGTATTCTCCAGTTGTGTTTATTATTTCAGGAAAAAGACTCAGAAATCTTACTCTTTTGTGCTGGGAAAATTTGTATCATTTGCTTGAAAAAACAATCAATTTCCAATTAATAATTAAGTAGTGTTAAACATCTTTGGTTTAAAGTTTCCTTCACAATATCTTCCCTCATCATGTTAATGTAATTAATAACAAATAAAACACCACAAAACTTTTTAAATAAAACGGGCCTGTATGCCAAGCAAAGCAGACACATCTGGGAGAAGGGAAATATGAATCCGTTTACATGAATTATGATTGGAAAATAGTTGATCTTAAATCTCAAGGTCAAAACTGAAACCAAAACAGTCACAGACATAACTTCTTCCCAATTTTCACCCCCTTCTATTATCTACCCTTGTGATTGAAATACTTACCTGAGCAAGAATGTATGTGATGTGTGGAATATACTGTGGCAATAAGAAAGGGAACGGGTATAAACGGAAGCATGTATTTGAGATGGAGTGCAGAGTGTATCCCCATTATGACCTGGAATTATTTAATATTGTAGAGGCAGATCAGATAAAAGGTCTAAACAATGTGTCTTATTGTATTAAATGTGTCTTATTGTATTCAGTGTGTCTTATTGTATATATCTGGAAAAAACGAAAGAATAATGAAGATAAGACATTGTGTTTCTGCATTTACTGACCAAAGATTTTGTAAACTATTTGCATAGAATTTACCGACTGAATAAAATTATTACTGACTAAATGTCCAAGTCCTGCATGTTGACAAATGAGGGACGATGACGATTCCCCACATGGGTACTATGCGTGAAGCCCATTTCTGGTGTCCTATGCTGCTGGAATATTCATTCCAGTTTAATATAATGATAATAGTAATTATGAATGTTTTGATAAAATACCATTTGACAGGAAGTAATTTGAATCACAGATGTTCATCGCAGAAAACTGTCATGTCTGCACCCACTGTTAACCTTGCAGTGCTATGTACTGAAAACTACACTGTCATCTGTTTTGCTGGACATTGATCTTGTATCAGCTTAACATGCTGTTCAGAGGAGTAAGAAGGGAAACGTTTAAATGGCTTTCTGTTTTTTATGTGTTAAAAATTAAAACCATTCAACTTTAACATTTAGACAATAAATAACTGTTTAAAATTGTTTAAAATGATCGCAGGGCAGCTGAAAACACCTGCAGGTGAGGTGAAATGGGGCTTAACGTCACATTCAAGATTATTGCACTTCTATAGCAATGCCCATGCACATGTAAATGCGTGTACTAGTGCTTGAACTAGTCCGGACTAAAGCCAAGTTTAGACTAAAGCCACTGAGGTACCATGCCGCAATTAAACATGAATACCCCACTCAGACACAGTATACTGACTGCGAGCCAACCAGTCTTTGGTTTAGTCCCTTAATACCGAGCGTCAGGCGGGGTAACAACAAATACCATCTTTTAACGTCTTCTGGTATGAAGCGGTCGGGGATCAAACCCATGACCTTCCACTCTCAGGGCAGACACTTTCTCCACTAGACCACGGTGGCAGTCGTCCACACCTGTAACAAAGACAGCTGACTGCCATAGCTGCCTAGAGGTACTTGTAACAAGATGACATTTTCCCCACAGACCATTCTTCATTGATATGCAGAGATTTATTTATTTATTTTACTTCTTTCTAAACTAAATAATTTGCATAATATCAGTAAACAGTAAAATAGACATGGCCTAGTTTCCCACAAATGCAGTAAGTAAAACAACAATCAATAGAGAGAGACAGGAATTAGCGAAGCCTTAATACTAGAATTATTGATACCATTAAATTAATTCCTGATTTGAGATCTACAGTATAACGACACCTCCCCCTTCACCAGATGAGCTGTTCAATGCTTGGCAGCAGATGGTCAGTGCAAGGGATAAAATATTAACGATTAATTACTCCGAACTGACTTCACCAATCAGTTATTAATGACCTGCACATGGTCCTAACCGTTACGGTTGCAATAGGTGTGGGCAATTCCAGTTTGTTAGGGCTTACATATTGTGAGTCAGATAACTATAGACCACTGGCAAACATGCCAACAGCACTGCGTAATGGTGTAGTATAGTGGTGCATTGTGTGATTATAGCACATGACTGACAGTTATTGTGTTCCTACAATGTATAAATGTCCTGCTTGACTGCCTTCAGATTTCACTTGGTTGATAAGAAAAGAAAGAAAGAAAGAAAAATATTTTATTTACGTGTCACATATTGCATGATAAATAAATCACATATATATACAAAAAGCAAACAATGCAATATCCGGCCGCAGGGCGTATGAGACCCGGATATTCACTGTTTATGTTTCTTTAAAATTGTAAAAAACATATTTGAGCTATGTAACCTGCTGAAAAAGGTAATATGGGCTTAACATTATACTACCGTTTTCGACGTAATAAGCGCCCAGGGTGATCTCAAAATTAGAAATAGGGGGCTCTTATTAGAATATTATTTTGGTGAAAAAAAAGTTGAAAGATAAATTTTGTGGCTTATGCTGACAGCCTGAAATGTTTATGTACGACAGATATATTTTTTCAGAATTAAATGCCCATAATTAAGGGTGCATATAACACACAAGTGTGTATTATACGCGAATAAATAAGTCTTGTGTACATTGATCAATCGGAAGGGGTGCTAACTGGGATTGTTCACTAGCCACTATCTTAGCAAATGTCGCCGTGGGCGCTTATTAGAGGGGGCGCTTATTACGTTGAATACGGTAAGTTAAACACACACAGCGCTAGACGCTTATTAGATTACATATCTATCCCTCTATTAAAATTTAGAACTTGTAAACATAGATTCCCAGTAGATGGAAAAAAACTCATGAGAGAAGAACCAACTATGTACCTCCCTTGTTGTAGCTGATGAATATCATTATCTATTTAAATGTGAATCTTTGCTGTCTATAGATCTCTACACATGCATCCTCCAATATTATCATAAGCTCCCCAATACCCATAAATTGGGAAGACTATTTTCCAACAACAGCACTAAACACTAAGAAATATATGTAAATTTACCTCTGTACTTATCAATGAGTCCTAAAACCCTTCACCCTGATGTTAATTTGAACATGCAATGTATGTATACAATGTCTTAAATTGTTCTATGTATATTTATCCAATGTTAATTATATATTGTTCAATTGTTCTACCATGGATGGTTTTGAGTAAATGAGTGAATGAAAAAATCCAGTTCTGTAATGTGGAATCCTGGTACAAAATGAGCTGTGGACATGTGGAGTTTTACTCATGCTGTCTATCCAGTTCCTGGCTAACACATTCTCAGCACCTGATGCTTTCATTAAACATATGTAGAGGCCATAAAGTTTCCGAGTCCCGTGATGGGATTCGAACCACAAACCTTCTTATCAGAGGTCGGACGCCTTGTCCACATGACCGAAGAGGTTAACCCTGTCAGCAAGCTGAC